GTGATGAATTGCTCACTTTCGCAGTTGGAAAATGTTCTCTATCCAGTTTAAGATGATTTATGTTATTTATTTTGGTTGTTTCTTGGATGCACTTATATAATTTTTCAGTCGTAAAGTAATGGCGGAAAATATACATATACATATAAAAAGTAAAAATAAAATGGGAAAAGATCTTCTCATTTTTCGAAATAATTATAAAAAAGTTTAATAATGCAAAAGAACTTTACTTCAAATTATGATTAATATCATAATAGTTGAATTTAAAAAAATTTGTTTAAAAAATAATTTTAAAAATCCAAGAATTAATTATCTAGAATTTATAATTAAAAAAACAATTAATCAAATAAATGAATAAAAAGTGGATAATTAATACTTAAATTATCTTCTACAAGAAAGATGTTTGACACATTTATTTGAAGAATAAAAATTTTGCAGTCGTGATATCTTCCCTTTAGAAACACAATATAACGTTTAGATAAATGGATAATTAACGTATCTTATTCTCTGCTTCTTTATTTGCCTACAAAATATATCGATTAAATCGTTAATCTTGATTATTGCGGAAGACGCGCGGGTATCTGTAACGACAAACATGCATATGTATGTATGCACATCAGCAAACTCGTGACGGAGACAAATGGCGTTTTCGAAAATGCTTCAGGTGGCGTTTGCAACTACACGTAGTCGCTTAAGCGGCATCGGATTAGTACAGCATACTTCGCTACTTCAAGGGCAAACCCTGCTCGACACTGCTCGAACTTCGCGCGCTGCATCGCTTCATGAAAATTTCATAAAAATTTGCATGAATGGGATGCACCTGCGAGCACCGCGCATTATTTGTCTTTGTCAAGTTGTTCTAGGACGACTAAAGGGATATTTGCATGACACATATCGCGCGGATACATTCCCCTTGGGGAGACCCTACTCTATCGCAGTGATATCTTAAGCATCATCGACAATTCTTTTCATCTCCTCTAACTCTGTCTCTACTCTTATTCTTGTTTTCTTTCGAAAAGCATCGTCAGCTCGTGGAAATAACCGTGCGAGAAAAAGTAAATGAGAACTGCACAAAGCAGGCCTTCGTGTTTCTGACATTCTGTTATATCGAAAAACAAACGTGTGATATCCATGTTGAATTGTGTGCATATAAATGTGGTGCTTGTGAAATATCGACAACGTTGTCTTAATCCTACGCTGAATAAAAAATATTTACGTAATCTTAAACGATTCTACATTAAAATTTCAATTATTATTTTGAACAAACATTCAATAATTAAATTTATGTAAACTGCAATATAAGCGTTTGCACTCTCTTTTTCATTCATTATCTCGACTATAAATCTCAAACCAGCTAATACGTCTTAATATTTGTTCTCATAATGAAATAGACTAGAACGGCGACGGCGAAGAGTGCGGCAAGGACAACAAACATCGAGCGGAAAGAGATCGAGAATGCGAGTTTAAATTTTAAATGAGCATCAGCAAGCTCAATGGTGCGTAAAGTCGATAAGTTGCTAATGTTCATAATAGCTTCTGAGCATTCCATTAGGAGATACTTATATCTTGAGATTATTAAATTATTTTAATTAGCAATTAAGAGAAAATACTTTCTTTGATTGATTGATTCAACAAATCACAATGTGCGCATGAGATCTTCCGTCTATATCTTATCAGATAAAAACATGTAATTTTGTTAATAAAATATATAAATGTATTTCCTTCAATAATATATATATATATATATATATATATATATATAATTTTTACATGCTATAAAAAATTTAATATTTGTATTTTTTATTTTTATTGATAAAAATAATTGATGGTATGAACTTCAAATATAATTTTAATCACTAATAATTGCATATGTAAAATATAATAATGATAAATATTATATGTCAAAACCAGATATATATTAATTACTGTAATATATCTATATTTCTTGTCCAAATTACTACTATTATTATTCAAAGTCTTCTTTGAATAATAATAATGAGTTCAGCGCAAATAGAATTAAAATTTCATATGCAACGATATAAGTGTAAGATGCAAGAACAAATACAGAACATATCGTAAATAAATTTAAGACGAACACGACAATAGAGAAAAAATCACAATGCAAGAATGGAGGAGCAACGAATAAAACTTATCAAGAGTTTGTCGCCGCGTCGGAGTGCAGTCGACAGCATACGAGGATTTGATTGGATAGGTCGCTCGATTGCATATTGCATTCGACGAATATCGAAACCCCTTGTGCTCAATTAAATCCACGACAGCGCGGCCGATGGAATATCGAATTCATGGAGTTAAATCGCCGGACGGTAAAAAAGGAATTGCGTTCGCGAAATCACTTCGCTACAAAAAAAAGACTGGATAAAGCGGAAGTGAGTGTGGAGGAAAAATATTGACACAATGCAAAGCGTGTCGATAATTTCGGTTTTTCTCTATACTGTGCCCATTATGTCGCGCATCTCTCGAACTGTACGCAGACGACAGTTCTTTGCCAGCATACATATTGTATTTTGTCAGTCTGTCGGTGTTTTTCCTATAAAAGCACAAAAAGTACATCGAATGCATGTATTGATTAGAGCACGGCGTCAATTTTTACATTTCCATTTTATAAATTATATTATTTTTATTAGAATCATCATATAACAAAGTTATTATATGCATATACTCATATACATCAAGAATTCTTCGTCAAAGTTGATTTTACCGAGTTAACCTTTTCGCTACCATGTACATTGAATTTCGAAGTTTCCGAAACTCTAACAAAGTTTCTTTGCTGAAACTCAATACATACTTTTAAACTACGAAAATGCTTTAAAAAAAACATTTTAGTGGTAAAAAGTTAATTTCCTTTCTTCAAAATTTTTTTCTTAAATCAAATCAAGTCGGTCAAGTCTTTTATCACACATTAAATAAAAAAGTAGCTAAATTAAACTATAATTCCTCCAAGAAATATAATACATTGCATTATAAATACGATTGTATGTTTTAAAGTACACCATTCTTTATATTTTTTATATAAAATTTTTATAGTGCACAATTTTTGTATAATATAAAGCACTGCATATCCGCGTATAGTTCGAAATACAGTTTGAGTATACAATTTTCAGAATGCACATCAGTTCGACGTTCGACGTGTGCTGTCAAAAATATTGCATATGAATTATTGCTTGTCAATATTTTGTTAGTTTTCGTATAATATCGAGTGACTAAGTACATCACGAAAATTTTCAGGAATATTGAAATTATTATATTTCACGCAAAACGTTAGATTTTTACTGGAAACAACATAAAATTAAATAACTGAATCTCGCGCGAAACAAATCGCTAGAACAGATTATTCGGATCGAAAAATCCATCCACATATCACGGTTGCGAAAACCACGTCAAAGCTTTGAAACAGAAAACTGATAGGAACAACGTAAAACTATCCTGTGTCGATTCTATTCGATTTTACGTGCCTGCCCAACTTTCATCACCATTCTCTCTGTACTGCTTATTTCTCGTTGAATCCCACCCGGATTTTTCAACCCTATATTTCCTCACCTAACGATTCCCGACAGATATCAGGATAAATGTTGTTTCAAGCTTTCAAACGTTCCATTCGTACATTATGTTTCATAATAAAACCATCTTCTTTCATGTCAGAAACATGTTTTCATATTGTATAAGGGATTTATAGAAGTAGACTTCATTTTATGATATATTTGGCATCAAAATGCCAACAAATTTAACCTTAATACCACAATTCGTATTTGTTTTCATTACATTGTCTTATCTGTGTTTTGCTTTTAAGTACACATCGTACTATAACTTTATTATCATAAAATCTCTATTATACACTTCGCTGCTACCTTAAGAGAAATTATGTTAATAATGAAATAACAAAAAATTGGGTTAATTCTGTATTAAAACATCAAAATTGATGATATTAGACTTTGGTAATCGTAAAACAGTGCGATACCATATGCGATTTAGAGCGTGCCGTCAATGCAGTTCTATGCTGGATGCTGAACGATTCACTACGGTTCAATGCGACTCAAGCTCGGAACAGAAGCGGGGCATCGTGACGTCAATGCACGCTTCCCTAAACCTTTGTCACCGCATTACAGTCGATCGACGGTAATTTTGCTGCGCTAACGGAACTAAAATCGGGCAGAGAAAACGTCAAATTTACGCGAGCGTAACCTTTGATGTGTTTTTTTACTATCGTAACTATATAACTATCGTACTGATGTGTTTAATTACTATCACTGTTCGTATGCAATATTTCAAAATTTCTTTTGCAAATATGTTTTAACTTTTTATAAATTATTTATCAAATATTATATTGCTTTTACTGAACAATCGACATTTTAAGCAATTTTTTATCAGTCAATTTTCAAAAATAAAATGTAGAGATACATTTTACAAAGATATTTTATTATCTATTTTTCGCAATAGATTTTTGTGCGTGCAACAAAATTCATTTTAATCATAATGCATTAAATATCAAGCCATTATTAGCAAGTAATGCGGAAAATACCTGCATGTGACATGGCAATTAATTTTTTTTCAATATATATATTTGCTTGCCTGTAATGTCAGCAGAAAATTTTATACATTGAACAACAGCACACATGTCAGCATACTGTAATTAGCAATCCAATAATTCAATCTCTAAATCCATTTTAAAGATTAATAAATTCATTTCTTTTATGTCGCAAAACCGCGTTTATCCACTTTTTATTTGTACGCGTAGAAGAAGCACAACCTGTTATTGATATCATGAGGTATGTGACCACATCAGCACAAAGTCTCATACCCTCTCTCTCCCTATCTCTTTCTGTCTGCATTCCATGGCACAGACGCGGAATCTTCTTCGCCACTCGAAAAAGAAAATAAAGGATGGACGAAACAGAAGAATGTCGATCGTCAATTAAAATATCTCACAAAACGATAAGCTTCTCCCTACCGGTCGCTGTTATTGTTCAAGGTGAGTCGCGATTTACCCGCCAGAAGATCAAATCTCGTTCTGCTCCTCTCGCTGTCCTCGTAGCCTTCAAGGTCGTCCTCGTAATCATCGTAATCCTCAGGGACGGGACCCGGATCCCTGTCCTTGTCGCTGACATTTCGCGAGAGATTGTTGCCGGGCGGAGGACCCCTCTGGATGGCTTGTCGCACGCGGGTCCGATGATCGTTATTGAAGAGAACTGACGGTGGCGGAGGCGTCGACAGCTGAGAGCCCTGAAGGCGACGCTGAAGGTAACGGGCCAAGAGCGCCTGTACCGCGTCTGTCTCCGCCGTGCCTGGAAGACAGAAAGAGAGACTCGCTCTCGTGATCAGTCGACAACAGCTTCCCGATCTTACGATATTCCGCTTGGTCCTTATATCCGCATTCTTATACTCCGTCTTTTGCTCTCGTCTCGCTTCTCCAATCGTCCATTTTCTCCTCCCATTCGTTCCTTTCCTCTTTTATCGTCAGTTTTCTCTCTCATTTTTCCATGACATGACACTCCTCACATTTTTCTCTCACAAGATCGGGAATAAAAAAGCTCGACTCGAGATCATCAGCAGTCGAGGGGTCCTCCTTTTTGCGTCATGTGCGAGATACGTTGGGTGTGCATCCTTGTGCAAGGTATAAAGATATGCCCGATCCACACATACACATATGATAAGCTCAGATGAAACGTGTTTAATGATGAGTGTGATTCTTCGTGCTACAGTGCGGCAGAAAGATTGATGGACTGTTAATTCCGAAAAAAATGATCATACTCGAAATGATTTTGGATATTCACAATCACCAGAAGATAAAAGTCACTGTATTTTTTGTACAAAAAGTAGTACACAAAGATTGTCGAAACAACAAAGGCATGCAAGATCTTCTAGCAAATCCTTCAAATTATTTTAAATGATAATAAATAATAGTGATGTTGGGGCAATGATAGTAATATAAAAATAAGAAAAATGATGCGCAAGAAAGAAAGATAATGTATAAAATAATTAAAGACATGGCTGTTCGTCTTTAATTTCGACGTATTAACCAAACACGATCAAATGTAATATGGAAATAACAGCGAAACGTATTCAAGCCCGCAGGACACTTCATTAGAGTGTCCATCTGCGTTTGATGTGCCAAGAGCATTCACGAATTGTCACTCAGCATCGACGGATACGCAATTCCTATGTCAACAGAGAGAAAGATTCGCAAACTACTCGATGTCGCTTTGTGAAAAGCATGCTAAACATCTAGGTACCATTGATTGTTACGCAGGAAATAAGGCAATTGCTAATATCGCTTCAATAGCATACAATTATAAAAAAGCAATGTCTTTTGCAAAATTTATATTAAAATTTAAATTAAATAAAGATTTTTATATTAAAATATATTCAATTTTGTTGAAATTTCCTGTTTCAAATATTCTTTAATTTAGAGAGAAAGTATATATACGATATATTAATTAATAATATTCTAATTATATATTTTTTTTAAAATACAAATATCAAAAATAGACGGAACATTAATATATTAATTATCATGTTGCAATTCTAAATATTTAAGTATAATTATTATATATTCTGACTGAAATATTATATATTCGAATTATTATATATTTCTGAGAAATTAATTTCCTCCAATTAAAATTAAAAACGGTTGATTTCTTTTACAGTAACTTCATAAAAATCAGCGTGTTGCTAAATAAATTTTATAAAAGTTCAAAGGTAATTATAGAAACGGATGATTAAAGGAGTGCGGTGGATTAAACGACGGAGTCGTGGGAACTGTTGGAGGATTTGCGGCGACAAGAAATCCAATTTTCGGCGAAGTCTAGCACCGAGTGCAATTACATCGATTTCTTCCTGTAAGCTTGTTTGTTAGCACGGCTGTCTCGTAATCGAATTGGATCAATTGTATCGCGCGAATCCTATCATTTCTTTCGCTGATCCAGTTTGCTCCTTTTATTTTGGTCTTTTCTACTACACAGTGACGCTCGTGAAATTATTATTCTAGATATAGTGAGTAATTAAATCGCACAATCAAACGTTGATTTAATTTATGAAAAAGCGTCTTGCAAACCGGCGGAAAATCAGCAGCGCACGATGCGCGAGCTGTTTTCTTATTATATTTCGTGCGAACTGAAAAATACACGCTCGAGTTGACTGCAAAGGATCAACTTTCTGGCATGGAGGTGATGCCCCGGCAAGGATTTTCAGAGTCGGAATCTTTTTGCCTCGCGCAAATCTTGTTAGCCTTGCTTTCACACGCAGGCTAATTCGACGAATATCTTTTAAAAACATTGATAATTTATTTTTGCTACGTTATCCGTATTTGTCTAGCAAGTAATTAATATCATTTTTAATCTAATCACTGCAATATGTTCAATTCAAACCAATCAATAATTTGCAAAATTTACTGTATGTTTCTTTAATCGTGGAAAATCGTAAAAAATGATTTTAAGCAGAGCAAATCGTGATGTTAATTTAAATGGTATTGATCGATTGCAGAGAAAATTGCTAAAAAAAACCGATTGAACCTTGAAGCAAACGTTTAAAAAATATCGGATGAAACCACACGTGGTAATAACGTATCGCCCCGAATTTTCCATATTCAACTTGACGGGGAAACCAAACACGACCAAAACTAATATTTGGTGCGCGTTACGGCAATTAGAAATATTCTCGTACGCGCTTCCGCAAGACAACACATAAAGCGTTACCCGATATCGGAAAAATAATAAAACGCTATGCTCCAAAATATTCCACGATTTCATCTATTTTTAGCGAAAACTATCGTATCCAAGAATAATCACGCGGGACCTAAAAAATATTTCACCAATCGAATTTTATTCTTTATTATAGACGAAATTCTGCAGCCTACTTAATGGAAATGTCATCAAACGACCACTTACATTTAAAAACTCAATTTTAGAAATTATTACAAAAATGATTGCATCTCGAGAATCAAATAATTTTTCAGCATCGAGTAGTCCAATAAAAAAGTGGATCAAGTGGATAGTAAAATAAAGTTTAAGGGCGTAAAGAGTGTCAACGCAAACGATCGACTGCAGGAGACAGACATTCTCGTAAAAGAAAAATGCTGAATCCAATTGTGGAAGAGTATGAAAGAAATTGTGAAAGGACACAGATCACGCCGTACAGCAGATTGAGCGGATTTCTTTGCGTTTTGAATGCAACGTGAGATTCGTTCTAAGAAAAATTTAGCGGCGTTCTCAACCAAAAAATGCATATTCCGCGAGAAACCACAGCCGGCGTGCGGATTTCTCCAAACCGGAATTTTCTCGGACAAATTTCATGCCGAAGAAACCACGAAGCGACGAAGAATTTGCGAAGAAGCGGTCGAATGCCGGCTCCTCCTCAACGAGCAATTTCGGCCGCTCTGCGAAAAACAAAGCAAAAGCATCTCCAAAAGCGAGCGAAGGTATCTTCTCTTCGGCGAGATGGAATGTATTTCAAGGAAGAATAAAGCAACAGGAGTATCGCCGGGAAATCCGAAATATTTTCTTCGGAAGCGGAAAATTATCCCAGTCGAGTGCTCGCAGCGTCGCCAGAAGCGAAACGTTCAGAAAGAAAAATTCGCGATATCTTCGCGCACGAACGAAAGCACAAAAGGTAGAAGAGAAATTTGAGAATTTTCCAAGATCAAATTCGACGAAATGTCGCACGAGGCAGTCGTCGCTCAATTTCTCTCGATTTATTGCATATTAACGCTTGTTAAAACGAGAAAATATTATATATATATATATGCATAATATTATATGCATATATAATTATGCATAATATTTTGCGCGAAATAAACGAAAAAATGCGTCTCGACAAGCTCTTAATTTAAATATAAATTTGTTTTGCTTCGTCCACATCAAATTTACATTCTTAACAGTCCTTCGTCTCCGGAGTGGAAACTTACAATTTCTCAAACAAGCTATTTTCCTCGAAGCATCAACCGAATTCTAGAAACTCTGGATATCACGTGTCTCAAAATGACCGACGTGCCGAAATTCAAGATCAACCACACGACGATGCAATTGGGAAAAGATCGGCGAAGTCCGAGTGGAAGTTTTCCGAAATTACTGGACCGAGAATCTAGCCGGGGACTCACCAGAGGATTCCTCCTCAGTCGGAATCCCAATTCGGGCAGAAAATTCGACGGAAAACGCTCAACTTTCTGGGTTGAGCATTCCGCTCAAGCGCAAGATCAACTCATCGTCGTCGTCGTCGTCGTCGTCTCTTGACGTCGCGACCGAAGAAATCGTTACGACCGACCGGAGAGACGTGAGTATCCCAGGGAGTGATTTAAGCTTCGCTCGCGCGCCATCAAAAGCACGAGAGAGAGCACGCGTTAAAGCGAAATGCAGGATGTCGACGTCTGAACTGATTTGCAAGTTTCGCGTCTCTTATCCGGCCCGGCACAACGCGCGGAAACCAAGCTCCTCCTGCAATCCATTGTTCCCACTTCATAATTCAATGACTTTCGGAACTAACGTTTCCCGGACTATTTCCTCGATGGGTCCTCTGAATGCTTTATGCGTTTTTAGGATTATCGCGCAGCGTCGACCGGCGATGGTACGTGATACGCTTTTACTGTAATTGGATCTAAATTCTGGAACGAATAAACGAACGAAGTCTAATAAAAGCTCTGCTCGAACGTGGGCTATTATTGTATCGGAACCGATGTTATCCTGTTATAGCGAGTTATAGAGATATTGGAGAACGCCAGCCGGTCGTACGAAATAATTTATGGCGCACGGCAATATCTACTGCGACGAAGTTAAAGTATAAAAAGATATCACTTGTAGATATCGCTAAAGATTGTAAGTATAAATTAAAAATGTTTTCTTTCTTATGTAACAAAAAATTTTCTATTTCTAATAATTTTACGGTAACAAATGAATTATATATAATTGTATATATAATTATATCCTGAAAACATATTAATCTTAATAGTAAATAATTAAAATTAGTGAGTTGTATTACATCTACTCTCTGATTAAAAAATATTTTACACTTTAAGATGAGCATTTTTCGATAACGGATGTTAACAAGCGGATGAACATCTACTTTGCAAATAGAAGGTGTTTACATATTGAAAGCAGCGAAAAGCTGTCCCATGCGAAAAACGATGTCAGGCAATGTGCATATTTCGATGATGCACGATATTTTCTTGTGAAAAATTCACACGAGGATTGCTAGGTTTTATTGACAGGAGGTTCTTCAAAAATCTCATGTATGAGAAAGCCGCGGCCAGCGAGTATCATAACTATACATAGCTTCCAGAAGAATTTCGATAAAA